GAGGTGCAGAGGCTTAGACTGTAATGGCCACAGTGAACCCCAGGGATTGTAGGTGCTTTTCAATCACTGCTGCCGTCCGGATGCTCCATGACCATGAGTTATTGACTTCAGTGAACAAGCGGAACGACCTATGCAGGCATTCCTAAGTCAGCCACCAAACCCAGATTCAGCTCCCGCCTAGATGATGGGAGAGGGTTGGTTTTTGTTTGTGGATCTTAGAAAGGGAAAATGCAGACAGCGCCAACTCACCCTTCTTCCCTGCACCCGTTTCCCTCTGGAAGAGGGGTATGTTACTGAAAAGCCAGGCAACAACTTGTCTCTGAAGATGCAGCTAGAAATAAAAACTGCTTGAGTGGTTTTCTGATGGCTTCATTTCCATAATTGTTTCCACATTCCAACCTGCCTGGTTATCTTTTTTTTTTCCCTTCAGAGAAACAAGTTGGGAGAATGTAAATGAAAGCTTTGCTCATGAAGTTTTCATTTGGATTCCACATATAGACTTTCCAAACCACCATTTTATGAAGTCTTACATTACTGGAGTTTGAAGTTGTGGTCATCACTCCAAAGTTTAGCATCTCCTGTGTCTGGGTCAGAACTACTACCCCGTCTAAAACCCTCAGCGTGAAGACAGACGGCTGAGGGGTGGCAGAAATGACCCAGCACCATCCGTGTGACGCTATTGCTTCCCATGTTCTGTGAAGACAGAACACGTATTTTCAGGGGAAAGCAACTACCTCAGGCTATTTTAAAAGAGCAGTGAGGGGACACACTGTCTAGAGTGTCCATCTGTGTTATATACCGTGGGGTGGCCTTTGGATGTGATTCGATCATCTCCTTTTCAGTAATGTAGCCATTAGTAAATGCTTAACTGGTATTCACAGTTCTGCCTGGTGCTGCCTTCGCCACAGAGGGGAAGCTCCAGGTAGTGTGGGTCTGTGGGATGGCTGCCCGGATAGAGTCAACTGCCTCTCAGCCTTGTGACCTTGGCAGGTGCTTGTGTTTCCTCTTCCGCAACATGGCTGTGCGTCCTCGTTGGGAAGACGACATGAAGTGATCCATGTAAAATGCTTAGTGTAGCACTTGGCCCGGGGTACACACTCACCATTAGTAATTAAATTAGACTAGAGTGGCGACGTTAACTCACTGAGGACATGTAGTTAATAAGTGATGACACTCCCGGTTTTGCTTAGTGACTGCTGTGTAAGTCAGCAAAGCTGCTCAACTCCGGACTTTTCACTTTAGGGGAGCGGGACATAGCAGAGGGCAAAGGTCGCTTGTTCACTTATCAAGTCCCCCACTATCCAGGTGAGCACAACAGACGGCTCCCTGCCCTGTTGGAGCAGCATGGACTGGGGTGGAAGACGGATACGTGGAAGAAAAGCCTAGGCATTGGCTGAGCTACAAAAGCCTAGGCATTGGCTGAGCTACGGCGTGTCTGGGCAAGCCCTGAAACACGGCCTCCACGTCTCCAAAGTGATGGCACGTTGAACTGGCCAGAGGCGTCTTGCAGAGAATACTTTAGGTTAGGCGTGAAATGACTTACTAGTTTTTGTTTGAAATCACAGAATCATGTTGTATGTAAGGGCTGAGAGAGGTCGAGAAACGCTAAGTTGGTCATTAGTTATAAACTGCCCAGGATTGTTGGTGATTTCCAGCTCAGAAAATACAATAACATACAGTCAGACTGTCCTGGAAACCATCAGTAAGCTGGGTAGCAGACGCAGAAGACAGCGTGAGGTAGCAGGGAGTCTTGTGGACGATTCTTGAAGGCTGCATCCAGCTGCATCAGTTACTGGCGCGGAAAGTCTTAGGGGGGTGTGAAGTTTTTAGACAAAAATCTCCCAAGTGTGTTCTCCATGGAAAACCCTCGAGCGAGCTGAGCTGGGGAGGGTCAGATAAGTCCACCCTCGTCTTCCAGGCTTTACCTTTAAACCTTAAGCTGGTTTTTCAGAGCAGTTGATGTACAACTGAAAGCAAAATGGATACAGGATTTGTGAACTCCTGTTGAAAAGTCTTTAAATATTGGGTAGTGGTGGCGCAAACCTTTAATCCTAGCACTTGGTAGGCAGAGGCAGGAGGATCTCTGAGTTCGAGGTCAGACTGGTCTACATGAGTATTTCATGGCATGACTTACACTTACTGCTTGATAGTCTATTTTTAAACCAGTGCCCCGTATGAGTGGTGTTCCTCTCATTCCGTTTTCCCCAGATGTAAAGTCTTATGCAGGGGGTAAGGGGGGTCACTCAGTGTAAGTTCTGCTAATTATAGTTTCCCTGTGATAGCTCAACATTTTCAAGACAAAATGACTTCTTGTTCTCATAGCAAATTTTCAAAAATAGAATCAGGAATATGCAACTTAGTTTTTATGGAATAAAAGTAAGAATTTGAATGTTTTTGGAGTACCAATCGTCAAGGCTTTAGCGCCTCATACAACCACAGAGTTGAGCAAGTGTAATGATCCAAACTAAAAATCTCTTTAAAAATAAGAGAAAAATTCATCAGACTATAAAAGCATCTGAATTCTAACATTCTATGCAATATTTCTAATAAATCACTCAGGAATAATATCACATTTAAATTAGAAAAATGTCTTTCTTAGCTATCTGGAGTATATAACAAAACAAAATACGTGTGTAAATCAGTTTTTATTAGCGAAAGGAAACAGTATAACTGTATCATTAAAACTTCTCATGTGGCATTTGGGTAAATTCCTACGGCTAGAACCAAAGTAACTTGGGCTAGGTATGTATACATAGAGTTCATTTCTCATGGTTGTGGAGATGTGAAATCCAAGACCCAAGATGAAGACTCCATCAGATTTGGTGTCTGGGGAAGACTGAGTCTCTGTTTCAAGTAGAAGCTTGGCTGTGGTGTCCTCACGGGGTAGAGTGACAAAAGAGAAGTCCAAACGGTCTTTCTCGGGGTGGCGTTTCAGTGACGAGGGCAAAGTGACCCTGCCTCCACAGTGAGCGTCCAGATTGATTTGAAGTGACGCAAGAGACAACTACAGCATGAGTTCCTCAGGTAGTCTAGAGACAGGGTTTCTCTGTATTGTTTTAGAGGCTGTCCTGTAGACCAGGCTGGCCTCGAACTAGTGGGGATCTGCCTGCCTCTGCCTTCTGAGTGCTGGAGTTAAAGGTGTGTGCCAAGAATCTTTATATAATTTTAGCAGCATTGAATACTTAATTTTCTCCTTGGGTATTTAATATTAATCCAGTAATTAATATTTTTCTATTAAACCTTCCTATTGTGCTGGTAGACTTAGAAATACAATTGCTTTCAAGCAATTTTTTTTTTTTTTACGAGACAGGGTTTCTCTGTATTGTTTCGGAGGCTATCGGTCCAGCCCGGCCTCGAACTCACAGAGATCCGCCTGCCTCTGCCTCCCGAGTGCTGGGATTAAAGGCGTGCGCCACCACCGCCCGGCGCTTTCAAGCAATTTGATAAGATCTGTCAGAAATCTTTCAGACACATTGATATCCTCTACTTCATTCTGAAAACTGTGAATTATTCCTACAGTTGGCCATGTATATAAAGACTAATTGCTTATAAAGGTCAAACACTGGAAATAACCTCAGTGCCCAAACCTAGAGATTAGTGAAGTAGGATATATGACAGGATGCTAAAGAGTTGTTAGAACTATGAAATGTAAGTATATCAAGTAAACATTTTGTCTCACAACAACAGAACAAATACTTAGTTCACTTTAAGATATTATTATGCAAATTGAAATATAATATGAGAAGCAGGCTGAGATATAGCTGTGTTTAATATTACTTAAAAATCGTTGTGTAGACTGGTAATCCCTACCCTGGTGTGGTGTCAGATTCCAGAATCTACAGAAAGTTTCAAAACTTGGAATTCCTTCTATGTTTTTCCTGTTACACAGACTTTATCGGTCTGCTGAGCCTGTGGTTCAGTGAAAAATATCCAAGCCTTGTGTTTTTTTTTTTTTTATGAGGGATTGGATAGCCCTTTCAGCCAGAAGTTAGAATCTTGGCTTCAACTCCACTGGTTTTTGAAGTCTCCTACTCAGTCTTACATTGAGATGGACCGGTGTCATCCCTGCAAGTCCGATACTATAGTTCGGTGTCCCATTTCACATAAGTCTGAAAGACTAGCCTTCACTTGGCAAGTGAAGTCTCAAATTTGCATTGGGTTGGATGTCTGCACAAACCCTAGATGTCAACGGCGTCTGTGAAGGCCTTGTCCTTGATTACCTGTGGGTTGGAGAGTCTCCTGGGAAAGAAACGGACTTGAAGTGGTTGGGATAGGAAACCCAGCAGACACTGTTACACTGGTACCACTGGATTGGGTGACTATGTGGACCAGGGGCGTTGAGACCAAAGTCTCCCTCCCTACGCCATACGCTTCATAAGTGGTTGTAACTGTAGCCTGAAACTAAACGATGCTGATAGAATGATCAGGGTTGGAATTGGAGGTGTGGAAATTGATCTCTTGGAGAAGGCATTTGGCCCTGGAAGAGTAATTCAATGCCATTATCTTGGCAAGAATATGCCTGGCATTACAAGCCTGCTTTTGGTTACGGAACAAAACTCATAAATAAGAAATGGCCTGGACGCTACCAGCAAGAGACATTCATTGGTGATTTGTGCTATGCTGCTGTCACTGGTACAGAGTGGAAATCATAAGGCAGCGTGTTGGACATATTGGTGCCTCCTTGATCGTCCATTCATTTATTAGCCAGCCATTCAATTACCCGTCATGAGCAGCCAGAGTGTCTGAAGCCTGGTGGGAATAAAAGAATCACAGGCACACCCTCTCTAAACTTTCGGCTGACCCTGGAGGAAAACAGTGCATGAAAGCAATGCACGGTGCTTGGAGGCCAGGAGTGAATGTCTCAACGCAAGAGGCTTTTACATTGAGACACAGGAGATTGAGAGGAGTCACCTGGGCGAGGGGGTGTCCTGGTGTCAGTTAGTGGCTTAGCAAGTGTTTTCACTGAGAGTGACGTTTGTCTTCTTTTCATTCCTTTCTAGGATGTGCAGCTCTTGTCCACAATGAATGAGTGCCACTACGATAAGCGGATGGACTTTTTTTACAACAGGAGCAACACAGACACTGCCGACGAGTGGACGGGGACAAAGCTCGTGATTGTCTTGTGCTTTGGGACATTTTTCTGCCTCTTCATATTTTTCTCTAACTCCCTGGTCATCGCAGCCGTGATCACAAACCGGAAGTTCCACTTTCCCTTCTACTACCTGCTGGCTAACTTAGCTGCTGCAGATTTCTTTGCCGGGATCGCCTATGTGTTCCTGATGTTTAACACTGGCCCAGTGTCCAAAACTTTGACTGTCAACCGCTGGTTCCTCCGGCAAGGGCTCCTAGACGCAAGCCTGACTGCCTCTCTGGCCAATTTACTGGTCATTGCGGTGGAGAGGCACATGTCGATCATGAGGATGCGGGTCCACAGCAACTTGACCAAAAAGAGGGTGACACTGCTCATTCTGCTGGTGTGGGCCATTGCCATCTTCATGGGGGGCGGTCCCCACGCTGGGCTGGAACTGCCTCTGCAACATCTCTGCCTGCTCCTCTCTGGCCCCCATTTACAGCAGGAGTTACCTCATTTTCTGGACCGTGTCGAACCTCTTGGCCTTCTTCATCATGGTGGTGGTGTATGTGCGCATCTACATGTATGTCAAGAGGAAAACCAACGTGTTGTCTCCACACACGAGTGGCTCCATCAGCCGCCGGAGGGCTCCCATGAAGCTAATGAAGACGGTGATGACTGTCTTAGGTAAGAGGAGCCTGATGAGCCAGCATTCCCATCCAAGCTGCAAATCGCTACTGAAAGCCCACTGTGTGCAAGGCACCCACTGTGTGCAAGGCACCCGCTGTGTGCAAGGCACCCGCTGTGTGCAAGGCACCCACTGTGCAATCAGGAGGCCGTAGTGAAACGATAAGACAAATTCCCACTCACAGTGCTTGAATTCTCATAGAAAAATAAGTGTTCTAATAGGGCAGGCAAACACGGTCAGCAGGACCTAGGAGATCAGTCTTGCACTGAACAAATGTAGCAAGAGAGCAGAACTCGTGTCGCACAGGTATGGCTTGTGATTTTCAAAGGCACGTGAGGTCACGCGTGCTTTGGATCAGGGTGGCAAAGGTAAGGAAGGGACAGCCTGGATATCTGAGGCATGTCACCAGACAGACGATGAGGAATGCAGGTGAGAGGCCATGAGCTCAGACAGCGCGGCCCACCCAGGCAGGGCCCATGGGGGACACAGCGCGGCCCACCCAGGGCCCATGGGGGACTGTGATGTTTCTGAGTGAGGAGAGGAATGACTGGAAGGGTTTGGACCCCATATTGACCCATCTGTCTTCCAGGAGGACGCTGAAGTGAGATGAGGGCGGAAGTGGAAACAGTGTTAGGGGCATGCTGGGACTTGGGAGCATTCACGGGAGCCAGGGCACCGTCGGAGGTGAAGGCCAGATCCTCATTGTGCTTCAAACGTAGAGTTGAAGGATCGTTTCCAGACTCAGAACTGTAAACCCAGTACATGGGTGGCTGAGCCAGCAGGATAACATAGAGTTCAAGCCCAGCCCGGGCGGGGAGAGATGCCCTTTCTAAAAAAGGCAGGCGTGTGTGAGGAAATGATAGCTTATCTGATGACCCTGGGAGGAATGGGGGAGGGGTGGAATACTATTAACTCAGACAAGGAAGACCGAAGAGGAGGTGCTGTGGGGAGGGTCAGGAGTTCAGATTCAGTCAGGTTCAGTTTAAGATCCTTGTGGACACCCAAGTAGAGTACAGGCAGGTCCTGCACTCACAGGTAGATTCATGAATCAGGAATTTGGTCTTTCTCCTCCTCCTCCTCCTCCTCTTCTCCTTCTCCTTCTTCCTTGCTTAGAGACATTTGTGAGACTCTAGGAGGAAATGGTGCCTGAAGTCACCTGACCACTTCACCATGAAGGTGAATGTGGGTGTGGTAGACAAGGGGATCATGGGAGTGTCTCTCTGGAAGGGATGGCCGGCAGAAGTACCTGGGAAATTCATGCAGTCTTGAAGGAAAGAGAAGGCAACCAAGAAAAGGGAATCTAGACAGAGGCTTCTTGATCCAGAATTCAGGAACAGAAGGACTTCAAACTGCTCGTGGTTTCCCTGAGAAAGAAACGTGTTATATATTTTGATAGATTTGGGCCATGTTGGGAAACAGAGTGTGTGTGGTGTGGATGGAAACCACCACCATAGAACTTGGGGTTCAGCTGACACCAAGCAAGATAGTTTAAGCCAAGAGCCCATTTATTAATATTTACATAGTGCCCAATATACACCAAGCATTGCTTTGCTTTTTTTGTGAGTATTAATTTATTTAATCCTCATGGCAACTCTGTGAGATTGGTGCTTCAATTATCCTGCCATGACCAGGTAAAGAAACAAAATGTACAGTTTAAGCAACGTGCCCTAAGTCATTTCCCTGTTGTTGGAGCCAAAGTCTCTAGAATGTATGTACTTGGTGTCACAGTCCATAATTAGTTGAAAGAGAGAGAGAGAGACAGACAGACAGACAGTCAGAGACAGAGACAGAGACACAGAGAGACTATGTATGTGTCTCTGTGTGTCTGTGTGTTTCTGTCTGTCTGTGTCTGTCTGTGTATGTATCTATGTGTGTTTGTGTGTGTCTGTGTCTCTCTCTTTGTCTGTTTGTCTGTCTCTCTCTCTGTCTGTCTCTTTCTCTCTGTGTGTGTATGTTTGTGTGTGTGTGCACATGTGTGGGGGGGTTAGAGGCTAACCTTAGGCGATGTTCCTCAGATGCTGTCTGTTTTGTTTCGTGTGACAGTCTCTCACTGGCCTTGTGCTTACCAAGTAAGCTAAGTGGGCTGACCAACAAGCCTTAGGAATCCACCTACTTCTGTCTCATGAGCTCTAGGGTTGCAAGTGTATGCCATCAGGCCCTTCTTTTTAACATAGATTCTGTGGCGGCTCAAACGCAGGTCCTCAGTCATTGCAAGGCAAGCACTTTACCAACAAAACAAACTTCCAAGCCCTAATTGTGTTTTGTTTGTTTGCTGGTAACTTTTTCTGCCCAGTCTTCTCCTTTGACCACCTCACTGTCCCTCCAGCACGTTGGTTATTTCCCTCTGAGCCATACAGGCTCTCGATCCTTCCAGTAAAGACTGAAGGTTAGCATAAACAGGCATGCCAATGAGCTGGGATATATCTGCTCCGTTTGTAGGGATAATTATCTGCTTGCCTAGATGTCTTGAGGAATTGCTTATCTTCAAGAAACAATGCCTTCTTTCTCAGCATGTTGTCTATATCATACAGCAAGAGGTAGAAAGGGCTTCTGTGTCCTGGATGGAAAAATCAGGTGTTGGCAGTGGTTACCGTCACAGGCTTCACTTTCCTGTGTGAGTTTGCTGACAATTATGGGAGAGTTTAATATAAAGGACTTGTGTGGTTTCCACAGGTGTGGTGTTGGGTAAGAGAAATTGGTTAGTGAGGAGAAAACACTTCAATGCTGAGGATCTGGGGAAGTTCTCCAGTGGTGAGACAGAGGGATTTGGTGGAAGACAGGAAGTTTGATAAAGGGAAATGAAACTGAAGAGCTAGGTGGTGATGTCTTAAAATGCCTAGCTTCCAGTTTCATTAATAACAGAGATTTGGAGTTTGACCCCAGATATTTTAAAAGTTTTCTGTAGAGTAATCTTAAGTACATTATTTCCATCTTTTGGGGATGTTGAGTTTCCCCATCTGGTACTGAATAGATTGCCTTTAAGTACTTTCCAAGATATAAGTAACCAAAGGAAAGGGAAAGGAAGGTGTGTGTGTGTGTGTGTGTGTGTGTGTGTGTGTGTGTGTGTGTGCATGTGTGCATATGTGCACACGTGCGCGTTACACAGAGAAATGCAGAGACATTGAATGAGTGAGATTCCTGCAGGGTAGCAGTCAACAGAATTGTGTGGATTAACTGTGTCAGAAGTTCAGAGCCTTTTCCGTGAGAGCATCCCCAGGATCCCAGAGAGGAAGCTTGCAGGTGCTCCACTCATGTAAGAATTCAGTTGTCTGAAACAAATGTCTTCCAGATGATTGATTTTAGGAAACTCAGCAGTTGTGGGGTCTACCATCATTGTAGTTGGTGGCTCTCAGAATGTGAGATAAGTATCTTAAAACTGGTATCTTTAATAATTTAGGTATTGTAATGAAAAATGCTAAATGTTCTTAAGTAGGTAATATTCATTAAGTAGGATTAAGTATCAAAGTTTTCTTTGAAATGTTTTTTGAAATGTTAGAAAGTTAGTCCATATATGTTCACAAACAGTTCCTAGGAGGCAAGTGGTTGCGTGAATTCAGTGAGCTTTGTCTCACTTCCAGGGGGTCTTAGAAAACCTGGGATATAGACAGAAAGGAAAGGAAGAAATGGGGGGGGGGGCGGGTGGATGAAGACATCCAAAGTATGAAGCAGCAACTCGACCAAAAGTGATGGTAGCAGTGCTGAAGAGTTGGCCGACTGGTTAAGGGCACTTGTTCTTCAGAGGACCAAGGTTTGCTTCCCATCACCCACATGGTGGCTCACAGCCACCCGTAACTCCAGTTCCAGGGGATCAGATGTCCTCTTCTGAACCCTGAAGTCACCAGGTACAAGCATGGTACACATAAATACATCAGGAAAAACATGCAATGCACATACAATTAAGTAAATAAGTCTAAAAATAATGTTTTTAAAGTAATGTTAGAAATACCCAAAGCCTAGCATACAGGGAAGGGTCAGGACGAGAAATGCTTGCTCTCCTACTACGGATGAAGTTCAGCACTGAGCCAGAAAAGTTGGCTGTTCTTCCAGTTGGACACGAGTACACAGAGCAGGATCAAAGGGCAGACTGCTTTTTGAGGGTGGTGGTGCTGGTGGTGCTGTGAGTTTTGAATCTTCATGATTGGAAAGGTGTGTCAGCATCCTGTTCACAGTTCAGTGTCCTGTGACAAAATGCACATCTGGGCTGTGTTATCTGTGGATCCCTGTCCATGGAGGAAGTGCTTACTGGTACTCATTGAGAAGACACGAGAGACATATGATCCCTCCTTCCGAAGAGCACCACACCCTGCCCAAGGTGCAGTTTTGAAATCCTACTGGTCAGCAAGCCTGATCAGACGCAGTCACCAACATACACACAAAACGATGTTATTATCCGACAACATACCTTGCGATCTGTGGCTTCTTATCCAGCTGAATTTCTTGTATTTTGCAATATCTTACAAAACAAAAGGCAAAGGGATTTGTGAGCCTGTGCTTTTAATGTCCTCCATGGGACTTCCTGTTCTATAGAGTGATTCAAACTGTGGGTTTGAATCCATTAATCTACTCCCCAGTTATCCATGAGGGTGTTCCAAGATAGCATATACCAAACTTCATAGTACCACACCCTACATATACTGATGATAAAGTTTAATTTATAACTTTAGATTGACAGCAGCAACTAGTCAAGTTTGCGCAACCTCAATATACAGGATTTTCTTTTTCTCTTTCTTGCTTAAAATAGTATTTTATGGTTTCTCCTTGTCATAGCCAAACAGCCAGTACAAACCCTATTGCACTTGGGAGTGAGTCATTGTGAAGTAATGTAAGGGTTTACTCAACTAGAGCTACTGTGCCACCATGACAGTTGGTTTGACCGTGAAGCTTCCCACTAAGTAACTAATGGAAGATAGGCAGATGTGGTGTGAACATGCTGGAAAACTGTCCTGTGTGAGATAGAGGTGAACTTTCTCCACACTAAGCAGAATGGAGTAAACACGAA